GGGGCGATGGCCGTGGTCGGGGGTCGCGGGGCCGCGGTCCTCGCGGGATTCCGGCCCCAGAGCTTCCCGCGTCCTCATGCGTGCCTGGGGGTTAGTTCCGGGGACCAGCCAGGCTGGGTGCGGCCAGTGTCCATCCATCCCCAAAGAATACATAATATGTTTCCCCCAGCGCCCCAAAGAAGGCGGGCAGCGAGTGGAGAGACGCTTACTACCTGCGAAAATTCACAAGGCATTGTCTCGCTCTCCGGGCGAAGGATAGCGCTGACGTCGCCGAGTGACGGGCAAGCAGGGGACCCCTTGGGGCGCGCGGCGAGCTGCCCCCAGGCCGGCCGGCGGCCGGGAAGGCGGGAACGAATTCCCGGCGTGCGTGGAGAGCGGGAGCCGTCTCCGCGGGGAAATCCTTGGCCACTCCTCCTTCCTCTTGAACTGTAAGCGTTTTGGGGGAGAGATATTTTAGACCTCTTAATTATTATAGTCCTCTACTTTCAGGGAAAAACAGTGTAATTGCCGTCCGCGTTCCGACTGCTGGTAAGATAATACAGAACCTCTGGCACGGGGAAGCCACAACATTTCAAGCGGTGTTAGCAAGATTGGTAGGAAAAGGAGGCCGACGTGAATTCCTTTATTGAAACAATATAAAATCATGGCTGACAATTAGGAAATACATCTTGAAGATCTACATTCGCCGGCCTGGTCCACCATCGGGCAGCCACCCCTTTGATGTAAATGACACAAGGATCGCTTGTTTTTTAGATCTCTGATCCCCACGGACTTGACATTTGCCCCAGACAAATGTGCAGCTTTGCTGACTCCGAGTGCCTGACAGAATGCAAATGCAGAGTTCAGAAGTGCCCACCTGGGGCCAGCAAACATCTCAGAGATTTTTTTCACAGCTCGCAAGTGCCCATTTAAGGCACAGAATTAAACTATGGTAAAACGACTAAGGCCGTGCATATACCTACAGCACTGACCTTTTTGAAAAAGTGAGAAAGATATATGGGTACAGCGTTTAAAATTCAAAAATCCAAAACTGGACTCATTATTTCTACCCCCAAATTTATTTCTCCTGTATTTCTTTTTTTTTAAGATTATTTATTTATTTGAGAGAGCAGAACGTGAGAGAGAGCATGGGGCGGGGGGAGACAGAGGGAGAGGGAAACCAGACTCCCCGCTGAGCAGGGAGCCCCAGATGGAGGCGGCTGGATCCCAGGACGCCGGGATCGTGACCTGAGCCAAAGTCAGACACTTAACTGAGCCACCCAGGCACCCCGTTTTCTCCTGTGTTTCTTGCCTCAACAGCACCTCCTGTCCCTCCACTTGGTTGGCCACGGCAAAATCCTGGTTTCCTATCATCCCAACTCCCATCTCAAGCAAGCCCAAGTAATCAATTATAAGGGAAATCAGTATCTACACTTCCAGGTACCCCACTTCCTTATTTTATCTAATTTATTACACTATCCTTTAAGGCAGACTTCTGTCCACTAAAAGACAAAGAGGAGAGTCTGGGCCAGTGGTTGCAGAGTGGATGCCAAGATCCGCAGCATCAGCATTACCTGGGAACTTGTTAGAAATGCAAATTATCAGGACCCACCCCAGCCCTACTGAATTACAAACTCTGGGGATGGGACCCAGCAATCTGTGTTTTAAGCCCTCCAGGGGATTCTGATTCTGTCCATCCCTGCTTATCACCCAAGACTGCTAGACCCCGGGACACCCATCTTCCTTCCTTTGTCCCTGGTAATAGTCCTTGTTCTCAACTCTTTGTCCGATATCAATATGGCCACTGCAGATTTCTTAGACTGGTGTTTGCATGGTGTATCTTTTCCCATCCTTTTACTTGAACCTACGTCTTTATTCTTAAAGTGGGGTTCTCTATTCTTGAAGACAACACAGAGTTGGATCTTGTTTTTTAATTCAGCCCATCAATCTGTGCCTTTTACTTGGGAAGAAGAGCTGTGATGTACTAAAACCTTGGACAAGAAAGGAGATAAGGGGCTGTTTGGGGGAAGTCAAATAAGTTCAATTCAAGGCAAGGAGCTTCTTAGCAAAGAAGAAACTTGAGGAAAGTTTCTTCACTACAGGCTGTAAGACGTCAGACCTAACAACTCTATTCTCCAGACCATTCTAGGAAATAAAATAGATGTCTAATTCTTACGTAACTAGAAGCACACATGAGTAGGTTTTACTTTTATTTATAATAAAATACTATTATGTAGAATCTTATCTAGAAAGTACATAATGGAATTAGCTAATTAACTGTGTTTTGGTCGTATCAACAAGTATGAAAATTATAGCTTGATTTTTCTTAAAATCTCAGAAAAGATAGTTTTTATTCTTGATGCTTGAACCTGGATTCCAAGGATTGTTAAAGCTCTTTTAACAAAATTAAAATCTGGGAATGAAAGAACGGCTTTTTTTTTTTTTTTTAAGATTTATTTAATTATTTGAGAGAGAGAACATGAGTGGGGGAGGGGCAGAGGGAGATAATCTCAAGCAGACTCCCCAATGAGTGTTGAACCCGATGCGGGGCTTGACCTCAAGACCCATGAGATCATGACCTGAGCTGAAATCACTAGTCAGACACTTAATCCACTGAGCCACTTAGGTGCCCTGAGAATGGCTTATTGTTATCAGCTCTCAGAAGTTTTGGTAAGACAAGTTTAAATCACTTTGGAAATGAGCCAAACTTTGCCAAAAAAATCTTTTCTAAACTCAAATCTCATTAACTTTGTTCATGAGAGGAGAAACAAGGCTCAGCACTTGAGAATATTATAGCCCAGCCTCGAATAATCATCCAGTCGTTTTGACCTCAAAGAACACATAGCATTGTTTAATTCCTCTCGAATACCTGAGTTGTAACCCAGTGTCCCCAAAGTGGCAGGATATATTTTTCTGTTCACGTCATATAACACACAATAAAATTAGTGGCATCTCTTTCCCAACTCATTGGCTGTTTAAGTGTATACATTTTGTATTGGCAAATGTAGCTGCTTTTTAAATTGTGGAGTTTAAATTGGACATAACCTGGGGGAAATATCATATAAATACTGTGTGATGTGATGGTGTGCTACTCCAAAATACCAGGTTGTGCTGAACCTAAAACCTCTTTTGCTTGCCTTTGACCTCAATCTTGACTTATTTCATTTTTTAAAAAATTTTATTATGTTATGTTATAATACATACATACAATACATCATTGGGTTTTGATGTGGTGTTCCATGATCCATTGTTTTCGTATAACACCTAGTGCTCCATGCAGTATGTGCCCTCCTTAAT